CGGCTGCCGTGGTGAAGTGAGCTTGAGGTGACCGTCACTGACAGTCACTGACCGCGGCAGCTGTGAAGGCGTGGTGCCACCGCCGATGGAAGCACCGAGATGAGCCTGAGGTGGCCGTCGCCGACAGTCACTGACCGCGGCAGCTGTGAAGGCGTGGTGCCACCGCCGATGGAAGCACCGGGGTGAGCTTGAGGTGACCGTCACTGACAGTCACTGACCGCGGCAGCTGTGAAGGCCGGGTGCCACCGCCGATGGAAGCACCGGGATGAGCTTGAGGTGACCGTCGCCGACAGTTACTGACCGCGGCAGCTGTGAAGGCCGGGTGCCACCGCCGATGGAAGCGCCGGGGTGAGCTTGAGGTGACCGTCACTGACAGTCACTGACCGCGGCAGCTGTGAGGGCGTGGTGCCACCGCCGATGGAAGCACCGGGATGAGCTTGAGGTGACCGTCGCCGACAGTCACTGACCACGGCAGCTGTGAAGGCCGGGTGCCACCGCCGATGGAAGCGCCGGGGTGAGCTTGAGGTGACCGTCACTGACAGTCACTGACCGCGGCAGCTCTGAAGGCCGGGCGCCACCGCCGATGGAAGCGCCGGGGTGAGCTTGAGGTGACCGTCACTGACAGTCACTGACCGCGACAGCTGTGAGGGCCGGGCGCCACCGCCGATGGACGCGCCGGGGTGAGCTTGAGGTGACCGTCACTGATAGTCACTGACCGCGGCAGCTGTGAAGGCCGGGTGCCACAGCCGATGGAAGCGCCGGGCGCGGGCGCTAGGGCTATGGGAGGAGGGCTTCGGATGAGCATTAGGATTTGAGGTTCAAGTAGATTGAAATAGATTCCAATCTTTGCGTGGGTAGGTTGGAACTTTGACGTCGTACAGTTCCCACTTGCAAGCAAATTCAATTGATTTCTGGATGACAGCTCCCAGTTTTTGTTTTGTTTTTTGCAGTGATGATCGCTGTCCTCTGAAAAATCAAACTAAGTAATCACATTTTCTGCTCTTTGCCGCATGCGTGCGATCTGATCCGCGCACCCACAGCTAGTGGGAAACCCATACGTTCTCCGAAATGGAACGCATTTGTTTAACTTTTGGCCGGTATTAAAGACGTCAAGCAAAGCTCCTTGACACCACCGGCCCCCTGACGTCGCGCTGTGGAGCTGAGGGCAGCGGAGGTGTCCAGAGATGGCCGCGGGGTCAGAGACCTGCGAGGAGACCTGACCACCGGCCCTCATCTCCGCAGCTCCCTGACGTCAGAGACCTGCGAAGAGAAAACGATAAGCAGCAGGGGGCGGTCTAATACGGACATGATGCCGTCTGAAATGTTCACGCTCGGTTATCGCGGCATGAAGGAGTGCGTGCTCGTTAACAACGATAGTGCCAATAAATTATTGCACGTGAGTTACGGAGCTATATTTTCTGGGCCGATAGCAACCAGGATGGCTGGAAATGAATTTTTCAGAGGAATATTCGAAGAAATTAAGACTTTAGTTTGTGAGCAAGCCACTGGCGGTAACCGATGAATCCGCTGATAGCGGGCGGCGTGGAAACACCGTTTCATTAACCGAGCTCTATATCATCAATATCTGCTCAAAGCACACAAAACCACGTGTCGATATGCTCCACATTAGATGAGAAGACCATCTCCACAAGTTATTTGTTGCTACAGGGCGTGGTGTCGTAAATGTTGACGTGCACGTCTGAAATAGTTCGATTTTCAGGGAAAAATAATGAGAGCCGTGAGATCGATTCATGGTTGATGGTCACAGTTTGTGCCGGTGAGGTGGGACGCTGCGACGATGTAGGCTGAACCGGTTTATTAGGAAAACACGGCAGATACACGCCACAGATCCTGTTTTGGTAATTGAATTCTTGGGTTGGCCAGCATTGATCATTTCAAAGTCGTGAGACTCATGAGATCGATGAAGTGGTCAATACTGCAGTCAGTCTGGACCAGCTTCACATCGAACCCTCTACTGTACAGGGAGTACAAACCAGGGGTGCGCGGGCTCGGGCGGCCTTCTCCACCAAGACGGCCCGGTGAGATGGGGCGTCTCTAGAGTGCATGGAGACGGGTCGAGAAAAAGAGCCGACGCGCCACAGACTGACACGCCGAGGACGGAACGCGCCTCGCCGAAGACGGCGTAAGAGGCGCGAGAGAGCAGTGTCCCCGAGACTCGGCAAACCCAGTCGGATTCTCTTATTTAGCGAGTGGATGTCTCCCCACCATTCTGTGAGGGCATTCCTCTTGCTATTTCAGCAGGCGTTCTCGCACCACCGGCGAATCTTTTCCAGTATCCTGGAGGCTCAGCCACGCTGGGAGTGGTGACAGCTCTGTGAAATGGCTGGCGACAGTCACCTCCAACCCACCTGCATTTACGAGTCAGTCTTGTATGCGGTAATCTGACGGACCAAAGAAAGGACGTCCAGGCGCTTTTCTAAAAAAGGAATAAGGTACATATTATGTTACAACGTGAAGTGTTTTTAAGGCGCTTGGTATGACAACACCACTATTAAAGTGGAAAGGCTTCGGTAGATCTAATACGACCACTGCATGATATCTTGGATGATATCATGGTATCATGGATGTGATATCATATGATATGATGATATCATATATGATATCATGATATCTTGTCTTGGCTGATATCCTCAGTTCATACGACTTACTGCAGTGTACGATGAGCTTTTTATTAAATGAGCTGGGTACAACACATTCCTTCTTTGAAGTTTATCTGGACCCCGTTACGAAGTTTTATGTGCTTGTAGCGGGCGGTCGCAGAAACAGCCGGATGACTGACCGCAACGCAGCTCATCTCTTCGATTCAGAAGTTGTTGGGTCATGCTTTTAGGGCCCTTCATATGCCAGTTGTGGAATTAAACACAAGAACAGATAAAGGAGGGCAGGTAAAAATACAAGGGTAGATCAAACTTCTTCGCCTGCCACCATCCGCTAAGTGGAGAGCTGGTCGCGCGACCTTCGTTGTGTCTTAGATTCCGTTGCCTCTCTGAAGGTTTCCCAACCCACGTGACCGGAGTCACCGTGGGTGGGGGGGGGGGGGGAGGTACCCGTCCCCAATATCTCAAATTTGAGTGCGAGCTGTGACGCTGCACGGGAAGAATGGAACAGAAATATCTCCGTTCCTGCAATCATTAGCCGTTGTCACCACCTCTAATCACCAAAATTGATGCACGCCGTACCGTCAAAGGTAGGTTTCTAAAACTAAACGCCTTCCACGACACAACAGACTTCTATGAAACATTCTCGTTCTTGGCCAACCGTGTCCCAGCCACTGTGGACCAGGTGTCCGTTTATCTGTTTATCTGTTTATCGTCTGCTCTGTGCTTCTCGACTAAGGAGTGAGTCAGAAGGGGGAAGGAGGCACGAGGTATGCCCCTTGCGCTAAGCCAAGAGGATTATGTTTGATGCTGGAGTTCGGAGAAAATTTGACATTTGCCCCCTCCCTTTGTCCCCGAAGAAAACTCTCGCCACGTGCGTGCCCTGGACCAGCCATTCTCTTCCAGCCAGTTCCAGTGCCGGCTGAAATCCGGCTGCTAAGCCTTCCCAGCGCCCGCCGTCAGTGCGGTCCCCGGTCCGGTGTTTTCGGTCGGTCCTGCCGGCCGGGCACGATCGCCACACTGCCGGCCGCCGTGTTTCGCCACATGTGCAGCGGCGCGCCGCCGGGGCGCCGGCCCGGCCGGGCGAGGTGCCGCTGCGTCGGCGGTTTGCGGCGGGCCGGCGGCGGCGGCGGCGGCGGCGGCGGGCTGGCACGCTGCTTAGCTCAGCGCCCGGCGCCGCCGGCTGCAGGAAGCGTGGCTCACAACAGGCGCCCCTGCGGTGGCGGGCGACGGCGGGGCGCCGCTGGGGCGCTGCACGGGCGGCGCTGCAGAACGGGGCCATGGGTCACACTACAGTCCCGACACCATCCTTTGAACCATTCACACCCTCGAGGGTGTAAACATTCTCCCGGTATGGTTGCGTTGTCCAGGGTCAGTTCCCACCGCATGCGGGAGCAGTATCCTGGATGCCAGAAGGCCACGACGGGCAAGACTTCGTCGCTTCCCGCCGCTGGTGGGTTTCGAACTAGGCATGATCCGGCCGCGTGGTCCCATGCGGTGTACCGTCCAGCGCTCCACTGGTCGTGCAAGGGAGTCTTTCGCTCCTAACGGACCATGTAGTCGCCAATGTCTGACGCCTCGCGGTGGAATGGCAGAATTCGTTTAGGTCGCACAGCATTGACCTCGCGTCGCAGGCCGGCACCAAAGTATAATGAGGTACCTTCACGCATGCAGTTTGGAAGGCTGCAGCCCACAGAGTTATCTAAGCAGTTCAACAAATGTCAGGCACGTAAAATGCGTGCAGAAATTCGGATGGGGTAGTTTGAGAAACATGAGATGCGCTCGGGCCACACTGGTAGTTTACAGAACTTGCTTTTCTACCGAAGCATTTGCACACACTACACTGATGTCGCCATTCATTCTGGTCCTGTTCATTTAGCGTAGAAATCACGCAGGGGCGTTTCCTGGTCATGCAAAACAAGTATACATGTTTGTATAGCATACACAAGTATACAAACAAGTTATGCATAACAAACATCAAACTGATGTTTGAATTACGGTTTACATTCACGTATCTGCTAAATGCGTTAACATCCCAGACTCCCTTTAATAATGTTGTCTTCGTTTGTCGTCTGTCGGCCGGACTCCGGCGCCCCTGGTGACGTCTGTCGGCCGGGCTCCGGCGCCCCTGTTGACGTCTGTCGGCCGGATTCTGGCGCCCCTGTTGACGTCTGTCAGCAGGACTCCGGCGCACCTGGTGACGTCTGTCGGCCGGACTCCGGCGCCCCTGGTGACGTCTGTCGGCCGGACTCCGGCGCCCCTGGTGACGTCTATCGGCCGGACTCCGGCACCCCTGTTGGCGTCTGTCAGCCGGACTCCGGCGCTCCTGACGCCGTCTACCAGCCGGACTCCGGCACCCCTGACGTCGCCGTCCGTCTGCAGGGACGCTGCTGCCGCTCGCGGGTCGCGGCCTGAACGCCGAGTCCGGCCCGACCGCCGGAGACCCGTTCCTCTGTCAGGACCCGAGCCGGCGCGACCTGCTGCTGCCCGCCAGTCGGCTCTGCGATGGCTTGTTTGACTGCCTGGGCGACGTGGACGAGACCAACTGCACTGCCTGCGGGCGAGGAGGTCAGCAGTCGCGGCCGACCAGTAGTGGCCAAGCGCATGGGTGTGTTTAACGCTGTTCTCTTTGGTGGATTTTCCATCTCTCTCTCCCCCCCCCTCTCTCTCTCTCTCTCTCTCTCTCTCTCTCTCTCTCTCTCTCTCTCTCTCTCTCTCTCTCTCTCTCTCTCTCTCTCTCTCTCTCTCTCTCTCCCTCTCTCTCTCGCTCGCTCGCTCGCTCGCTCGCTCGCCCGCTCTCGCCCCCTCTTGAATATTTACATCAACCCTCTCGCTGTTAAACGGAAATCATAAAAACATCGTTAGAAAGCATTCTGTGTTTTCCCAAAGCTAGTGGTGTCCAGTGATTTCTATGGAACTCCACCCCTGGGGTCAGGCGGTCAAACGTCGGAGCAGCTCTGCTTGGCTGGCAGCAGCCGCTGGATGCTGCTCGATAGAATGGCTTACAGTCGCTGCGGCTGTTAGCCGGATCAAGTTTACACAGAGTAGGGCACGTGTCGCCGACAAAGATGATCCAGAACTAGAAACAGTTACATTAGTATTTGTTCACGAAAACTGTGAACGAATATGGACAAACAAGCATCATGTTTCATTGAAAGTTATAGCCATTCACCTTTGAGCACCATGACATGCATGGCGGCATCTATAAGTTGGTGTTGAACACGAGACGCAGCAACCAAAGCCAATAAATGACGACTGAAACCAAAACATTAAGCCTTACACAAACCCCTGTATCCCCGTGCCACCTTTTCAGGGTATTTAAAACAGGGATCAGTTCTAAGCATAAAAAGTAACTATAGAAAATATAGCTGATAATCAACATCGACAACCAAAACCGCAGGCGGGGATTTAAAACATATTCAAGAATATTCGGTATAACGCCAAATTTAGACTTAGCAATGACTAGTTTAACCTGCAATGGTGTACCACGCCTGTGTCCCAAACATGCACATTTTTGTTTATTTTACTATATACTTTCCAAACTGATGAAGCCGAAGTGGTTGGCCGTGCTCCCGTATTTGCGAGTGTGCCCAAGATCCCCGTTGATCTGATGTTGCACTGCATTCAGTGTTTTCGTTTCTTCAGGGTTATGTTCAGTGTGACACTTTGGGTTGAAAGCGGTGGCAAGTCTGACGATCCCATTGGTTTCCCCATATTTGCCGCGATAGCCAATAACAGCAGCATTAATAGCAGCAGCAATAATAGCAGCAGGTTTCGCGTACGCTTTGCCGGCTGGCAAGGGCGAAGATCACATCTGTTCCCTCGAGGAGAGGACATGGCTACACCACACATCCACGACCACATTGTTATGCAATGTTAGGTTTGGAGAGAATTAACGAACGTGTTTTCGAACGATGGATGTATGCTCTTTGGCTGTTTGGCCGTAAAATTGCATACTTTCAGAAGGTTGCATTTGCGAACACCAACATTTAAACGACCCTTTTTGCAATACGTATGCAACGACCCCTGTCGCGTATCGACAGCAGCTGGTGGCTGGCGCAGCAGCCTGCCCCGCCTGCACGCACCTGGGGAGCACCCGAGCTCCAGACCCCCCCCCCCCCCCTGCCTCTTCCGCCGCCCATCACATCACCCTGCCCTGTCCGCCCCCCCCCCCCCCATCACATTACCCTGTCCCGTCCGCTCCCCTCCCATCACATCCCCCTGCCCCGTCTGCCGCCCATCACACAATCGAGCGGCGACATGTGGCAAACTGCAGTTGGCTGCATAAACAACGGGCAGGTGAGCTGCAGGCAGGCCTCCGCTGGGGCTGCGACGCCGCTCGTGATGCAAGCTGTGCAGCAGGTGGGCGCGGCCGCACCGGGGGCTCAGTTATCTGTACTAATGTGGCGTCGCGGCACCTCGTCGCTCGCAGTAGCATCGACGGACAGCAGCTCAGCTATGCTCATCCTCGCGCCAGCTGTTCAGATAGCCACGCCCAACTGGTCGAACTCCGAGCTGGTCAAATCCACGAGCAAACCCGGCTCGGGATGAGCCCGGAGCCGTAAGAGGGCTCAGTCATGTTTACCCCGGGGCCGTAAGAGCGCTTGGTTGTGTGTACCCCAGGGCGTAGGAGCGCTCGGCCATGTTTACCCCGGGGCGTAGGAGCGCTCGGCCATGTTTACCCCGGGGCCATAAAGCGTTCGGTCATGTTTACCCCGGGACGTAGGAGTGCTCGGTCATGTGCCGCTCACTCGGCCCCCAGTCTGGTCCAACGAAACTGCAGCACAAGGCTTCACCACGTAGCCATGCGAGCCGACCGAAAGATCCAGTATCGCCTCAGTTGTCTCAGCCTCCAGCGCACCCCCTGGTCGACTTACCCAGCCACCCGACAAGGAAGAGGAAGAACGGACAATGCAGCCCCGAGTCTGATACGCCGCGCTTTCGCGGTCATTATCTGGAAGGAGAGCCCCGTTTAACAACTCAAAGAAAGGTTTGCAAGGATTTTGTCAAATCCCTCCGGTTGGAAGTAGGTAAGGAAGTGTTGATGCCCGCACTCAGGATCTGCACGGGATTGTCAAGAGTGGTGCTGCCCATGTCATATGCACTGGTCGATTTTGAGAGAACGCTAAGCTTATCATCGCCACGGAACTTCTGCGGGGTGTTGGTACTCATTCAATGGTGCGTGTTTCGCGAGCTGATTTGCATCGTGCAGCTGTCAGCTGTCATGCCAGGGAAGGCCGCGATTCCCCTCTTGGCACATTCGGGAACACTTTAACGAAAGGAAAGCCTCTTCAACAAGTGGACCTCACGCAGGAGGATACATTACCATGTCGCTATCGCTGTGGCAATGGTCGTATTATTTCTAATAACCAAGTGGCCAGATTGTGTATTCAACCATAACAGTCCTATGAGACGGTGCTAGTTTGATGCGCGTACAGTATTCAACGACGTGCATCTAACGCTAAGACTAGCAATTATTTTCATTACCAGGGTTGTACAAATGACAGAGCTTTAAGTACTTTTGTGGATATCTATCATTTACGAATTGCGAATGCCGTCGGTTAGCCCGCTTACACATTGCCTTTTACACATGTACACCATCCTGGTATCTGTATATATATATATATATATATATATATATATATATATATATACCCGGCACGCATGCTAGTGGTTATACAACGAAAGAATAACTGATAAACAGCCTTGGACGCATACGTGCCGGCACCAATTGAGCGCTTGGAGGCTGGAATAACAATACCGCTCTAACCGAAAGATGCGGTGCATTTCTTCTTTTCTACTTGAGTAATTTCCGACCGACCAAATTTACTTACCCTCTCACTAAATCAAGCACCCAGATCGCCGCCAGGTGCGACCACCCAGTTTCTGCATTAAGCCCTTCGAAAATTTGCGCCACGTCTCGGATTTATGGACCCAGGATAACCAGCCACTCGCATCATGGAAGTGTATCGTTTTGAGCTGGGTCTTTCCGCAGGCGCCGCGCAGTCCGGCGGAAATACGGCCGAATAAAGGCGGCGCGCCGCCACGGCCACGACGCTCGCTCTCTTGACCGGAGCCAATTTGTTTTATTCATTCAATTTTGCAAAGATCGCCTGCAGATCCACGGCTTCTGTTCCATTTGCTTTAACTGTTGAAGGGAGCGCGGCGGCGGTCGTAACTCGCCCCGCCGGCACCGGTCGGCCGCGCCGCCTCCAAATGCCTGCTAACCGGCCCTGCGCGGCGCCGAGCGAGCCTCCGGCACCGAGCGGGGCAGGAGGTGTGCGGGGCGTCCTTTCCCCGGCGCGCACCGTCGGAAGCCATCCCGGCCCAGCACCGGCCGTGCGTAATCAGCTGTGTCAACGTGATTACGGCCGCGGCCATAAGTTGCGGCCGGCCCCGGCGGCGTATTGTGCTGTCGGCGTCCGCGGGGAGCGGCGGGAGGTCGCCGCCAGACCGGCTGCACGACCGCCGCGTCCAGACGCCCGCTCGCTGCGTGGCGCCCGGGCCGAATTTATGCGCCCGCCGGCCATTAGGTGTGTTCCGGCGCTGTCCCTGGTGACGTCACACGGTGTGGCGGGCCGTGCCCGACGCCCGGGCGCCGGCCCGACCCCTTTGTGGAGGCGCCGGCGCCACATCGGCCGCCGCTGCGTCCCCTCTAAGTGGCCGACCGCCCCATAACCGGGCCGCATATTCGCCGAATGACTTGATTAGACGGCGCCCCTAAGGCTGATCCCTTCTTTAAGCGTCAAATCAGCGCGAAGCTGGCGGCCACAATTCAGCTGTTGCCGTCGCCGTCGATAACGGGGGCGACGCGGCGCGAGGCGCGCGGGTTAGCCGGGGTCCTCCGCGCGTCGCGCCGCGCGGAATGCTGAAATATGGACCTGATTAGCACGTTATCCCGCGTCAGAGCCCGACGAAGGTGGCGGTGATGGAGTTTTGCGGCGTGCAGTGGCTGGGCTGAGTTTGGTATGAACCAGTGCTATCGGCCTGGGAGATGCTGCAGGGCCCGCGGTTTCGACATAGCTGCTGCCATCTGTTCTCGTGAGTGTGGGTTGCAAGCAAGTTATGATTTGCCTTTCTTTGCAATCTGGTTTCATTTAGATTCTGTTCCATGATTTGTAGGCATGTGAGGCAGGCTAACTGGCGCTCAGATGGCCACGGGACCATGAAGCGCACGCTACGCGTGCCCTTTCGCGCCTCAAACTGTTCAGGTCAGGTGTAAGCTCTATCCTCATGGATGAAAAGCAAGCAAAGGATGGTGGCGAAAAACAATTTGGAGAAGCTCGCGAGACTAACATATCCACGGCGCTCGGCTAGGCGGCCCAGTAAGTGCCGCTGAATACTTACCACCGCTATGTGCGTCGTTGTGAACCACGGGCGATTTTATGAGCATTGCGAACGTTGGCCATTGGTTCCGCCGCGGGCTGCCGTTCAGGCCCGGCCGCAGTCAGCGTTCCCGCGTCGGTCAGAAGTGGCCGGGCGGACGCTGCGAGAGTGCTGGTGTCCGTCTAACGCGCCGACGGCCGAGAGCGGTGCGAGAGGGGTCGGCGGCGGCTCGGCGCCAGCTC